TTACTTCATGCTCTATTTTGGACTTGCTTTATCCTGTTTCTTGATGGTCCATTTGTTCTGCACCTTCGTAGCTTAGGTTCGATCACTATCCTGACCGTCGTGCGTCACATCCACAAGTTCCAGTTGCATCCCGGTCAATGGTGCACCCGAGTCCCACTAATCTGCCTCCATATAGTGGAGTGGCACTTGCCGGATCGATGCTTAAGACAATTCGGACATGAGCAATGCATACCATTAGAAGCCCCGGCGAGTCAGAGGGGGTACCACAGAAAAGATGGCTGGCAAGGATCTACTAATTGGCCCAGGGAGTTGGAAGAATTGATCAAGTTGTGGAATAATAGAGAAGATCAGGAGATTATGACGGCACCAGCTGTGGGGCAAATGGGGTACCATGACCAATACATGGAAACATATCGAAGACAAGTTGTACGTTACATGAAGCCCGAAGGTGCGGCGGATGGAGCTTTGGTAAGTAATTCCGTCATATTAATTCATTTATTTAGCTTGAGCATCAATTTTGTAGTCATGCATATCATTACTATTTAGATGGATAACTTTGTTACTTTCTGCGGTTTAGGTTGATGGCATCAAGCGTATAGATGATATCGCTCGTACTGCAGATTCTTTGGCGGGGAGAGAGGTGGGGCTCATTCATAGGATACCGAACAGTCTCCTTGGCTGTATGAGAGCGCGCGCCCGTGACCATCATAGATACACGCCAGTTCCCCCTGTGCCTACTCCTCGAGTGACGCATGATGTTCCCATCCCTCCCCCGCTGTCCATAGAAGGCCAAACAAGGCTACAAGGGATCGACCTCGCGTGCTCGAGATCAAGCCGATTGAGGTGTGGAAGGTGCCTAATACATTAGAGGTGTGCCAAGGTGGAGGGTCGAGTACTCAGCACGACCCTCAGTAGAGTTCAACTACGATCCCTGATCGAGTTTTCATTACGATCCAGTTTCCACTAGGATCCCTGCCCGAGTTTCCACTACGATCCCCGAATGATTTTCCACTATGATCCCCGATCGAGTACATATCACGATGGCACATCCTCGGCTACTTGGCACGATGGTTCATCCTCGAGTTGCCATCAAGACTTCTCACCTTTGCACCGACCGCAACATCAATGGCAGACCACTCCCCACCGTATGAGCGTGGATGGGACTCGACGGCACACAGAGGAGCCACCTAGCACGGCACCACGACGACATAGCACGGACCAGCACCCTTAGACGGCCAATAGGCCTCTTCCACCGCGTCCAACCATGGTTACACCCGGTGGACCAGTTGCCCATTGAACAAGGAAACATAGGGCGAATCTTCGAGATAATGCATGAGAGTGACCCAATCGTTGAGTTTTATTTAAGTTAAACAAGTTGTGTTTATTTCAAGTTATGTTTTGTTTGAGTGATGTGTTTCATGTAGTAGTGTGTTTGTTTGAGTGATGTGTTTATTAAAAAAGTTGGAACATTGCATCAAATTGTGGCATTTTTGCAAATCTCCATTGGCATTTAATCACACAAAGACCAAGTCCATAACCATAGAAATTAAAACAAATTGTGAACCATGTGAGAATGCATGAAAATAATCTATGCGCCGTTATCCTGGTTCACCACATCGGGACCTGGGGTTTGAGGACCAATTAGTCCAGGACATTTTCGTTTATCATGCCCTGGTACTTTGCAGATGGAACACCGCCTTATCCCTCACGGTGGTCTTCCACTTTGATCCATCTCATTTGGAATCCTTTTTCCCCGCGGCCGACCTACTTCACGCCTAAGTCTGATTGGTGGGATGATGACCTTTCCCTCATCACCGTCTGCGTCTGAATCTGGATCGGAATCATCAGCACCTTCAAGAGGATCGAAGCTGTCTGCATTGACATCGCCTTCCTCTTCTTCATCCTCGGGGTCACTAACTTGATTTGGATGGACATATTTCATCTGATCAAGATTATGAAAGGCACCTTCATCAGCTCCGTAATGGTAGTTGAGGTAACTACCGCCGCCTTGGTAGAAGTTGTACTCGGGTTGGTACCGATAGCCTTCTTATGGGTTCCCATCCGTCTGTTGAGCTTCTTCTTCATATGATGGGAAGGATTGATGATGACCTCCAGTTCCATTATGATACTTCTGGTATGAATGATGGTCTTGGTACTCCTGGTGGGGATGATCTTTGTATAATCCACCCCCACCGTGGATACAAGATGTTTGGCCATCTCCAGAATGACCTACACCGCCTTCGACCGCCTCGGTGTAAACGAACATCTCCGCTTGTTTAACGTTATTGGTGGTCAAAATTGGACCATGTCATCAACGTCCTCCTGAGTGGTAATGAGGAATTCCTCATTCCACAACGACCCGCCATGTTTGTTTGGATATCGATACACCATACGATCAACTCTTCTACTGCCATCCATGCAGGTAACCTCAGTACACATTTGATGGAGCTCTTCAAGCATCGGTCTTGTAGCGACCTTCATTTTATAAAAATTGCCACCGACGTAACGTACCTCTTTTCTGGTTTTTCCCGTGTAACCATTCCACCGTAACCCAAGCGTGAACTTTTGGAATGCCATCTGCAATAAAACCGTAATTAAGTCACTACCATAAAAATTACAAATGACAATTAAAAGTAATACAAAACAAATTTACGTATTAACGTTAATCGCAAAACTAAAAAAATGAAATGTGCACAACTGAAATTTGAAGAAGAAGGAGAGGATTGAAGATTTGAGTTTTTCTGGTGCTGCCTTTTATAGGCAAAATTTACACTGAAAACCGTAGGGGGAGCGGTTTTAGTCTGACATGTAGCCCCCACCCCTACAACTTTCTGCATGCCGACATGTCAGATGTCAGGGGAATGGGGCTGAGGCACAAACCGCTGGGGGGGGGGGGGGTGTGGTTTGTGCATCGACCTAGTAAACCGCTTGCCTGAGTGGCGGTTTCTGTTGCCGACGGAGAACCGCACCACAAGCATGCGGTTTGTGCTAGGGAAGCCATGTGAACTGCTTTTTCCAAGAGCGGTTTTCCTCAAAAAACTCAACCGCTCATCTGGCATGCAGTTCCATAATAAATTGCCTCCTTGCAGACTGCAGTGCGATATTCACTATAACCGCCCCTCAGTGTTGCGGTTTTTAATTAAGGATGTTAGATTTGAAATTTTCTCGGTTTAGGTGATAATTTTGAAATTTTGTTTAAAACAGTGGTAGTTTTGAATTTTTCCCACAAACTAGTCCTCGTTATTATTTTTGAGCTTTCATATTTCCACTAGGCTAATTACATGGTTGGTCACTGAGATTACAAAATACATTCGTGTTTGGTCACTCGAAATATTTAAATCCATTGGTGGTACTTCACTTTACATAAACTGTTCATGTTTGTTCACTCTCCGTTAGTCACCGTCCATCTCCGTTAACAGTGTCCATTAAGTGATGACATGGCAGACAGAATCATCTAGTCAGCCCTATTTAACCCGAAAATAGGGTGACCCGACCCGCCACGTCATCTGGACCAACCTTACCCTCCAACCAGTCAGACCCGACATTCGAACTGACCCGACCCTTTCTCCCCTGTCGTTCTTCCTCCGCAGCAATCACCACCGCCCTTTCTCCCCAGCAATTCGCCGCCTTCTTGCTCTGCATCCGGCTCGATTTGAATCAATCAAGAAAAGTACTGAAATGAAACAAGGCCAGATCACGTCTCTTCACTTAACCATGTGAGTGAACAGTAGTAGATGGTGCAAACTCATTAAATCAGAACCCAGATTTGTTCACTTTTATCACAAAATGAGATCACCTAATATTCTAAAAATAGAGGGGTGGTATAAAATAGATCACTAATCGCTTATATGTACTTCTCCATGGCCAAGGTGAAGAAGGAGTGGGATCAAACACAATAGGTAATAATAGATAGGAATCTGGGAAAAGGCAGAGGAAGAAGGAAGAAAAAGGTAGAGGAAGAATGCTAATGAATTGAAACCAAAACCTGATTAGGAAGATGACAGCGTCGTAGTCAGATTCGCACCGCTCTAGCCGCTTTTGGTTGTCGCCGTACAGCCCCTCCACACACAAGGCATAGTCGGCGGTTGACTTGCAGTTGCGCTGGACCAGCGACGTCGGCGCTGGGGACTTTGCGACGACGGCGACGGCTTTGAGGATGAGAAGGAGTGTTCTAATGATGGGATGGTTCAGCGACAAAGAGGAAGGAAGACTTCACATGACTGAAAAGTGGAAGGTGGAGATTTATTTTAGAAATTAGGGATTTAATTTGTATGGGTAGTTTAGTTTTAAGGGTCGGGTCGGGTCTGGTTAGAGAGTAAGATTGGTCCAGATAACATGGCGGGTCTCAGTGACATGTCGGGTCGGGTCACCCTATTTTCTGTTTAAATAAGGCTGACTAGATGATTTCATCCGCCATGTCATCACTTAACGGACGCTGTTAACGGAGATGGACGACGACTAACGGAGAGTGACCAAACGTGAACGGTTTAAGTAAATTGAAGTACCACTAATGAATTTAAATATTTCAAGTGACCAAACATGAACGTTTTTTTGTAATATCAATGATCAACCATATAATTAACCCTATTTCCACTTATAACAATATTTGTCTGTCTCTCTTTCTCTTTTTGTTGAATTCTCTCTCTTTCTTTTATTCGTTCTTCCTTTGTGGGCTACTGGGCTATAACTCCGCTAAAGGAAGCTAAGGGAAATATTTTCAATGCAGAATTGCGTGAGTTGGTATTGATCGTTATCTCGCAACACCATCAAAGTTTGAGTCCTTCGATCTGAAATCTGCAATCCTGACAATCCACAGGCCAGGTCAAACTCCAATTTTACTGTGTATTATTTTCTCTCCGATTTATTCCATTGTGTTTTGATGGGTCTTCCTGGATTTCGGGTTTTTCATCTTCGAACCCCAGTCTTAAAATTCCGCCACTGAAATTGCAGCGATAACCATCGCAAGCAGAGAACAAGAAAGGAGCCGAGAGACATTAAAAATGGATGACGTGAAAGACAAGTTCAAGGGGTTCATGAAGAAAGTGAATACCCAGTTGTCATCCTCCTCGTCGCCCGGCAAATTCAAAGGCCAAGGTCAAGTTCTTGGCGGTAGTTCGTCATCGGCTTCGCCTAACTCCGTTTATGCTCGTTATTCTCAACCACTTGTCAATCGGAAACCCAGTACAAATCAATCTTCCATCAGTTCTTCTCCCTCTTTGAACTCCAAACCCTCGACTCAGAAGAGCCATGTTCCCGATCATAGCTGCAAACCCACTTCCGTCGCTAGCTCTTCCTCGACGCCAAATCCAAATCCCGCTGATGGGTTTGACCCTTTTGGTTCTTTGATCACGAGTAGTGAAAGATCCAAGAACGGGTATTCGCTTAATGTCTTTGAGTGTCCCATTTGTGGGCAAGGCTTCAGGTCCGAAGAAGAGGTCTCTGCCCACGTAGAGAGCTGCGTGTCTCTAAGTGTTAAAGCTGCCCCTGTTACTTCAGGTGATGGTAATGCTGTTTCTGATGGAAAAACTGATGAAATTGAACAAGATTCTGCCAGAGGTTTTTCGGATGTGGCCTGTGTTGCTACCTATCTTTCAGGTAAGCCGGCGGAGGGTTCCAAGGAGGTTGTAAGGAAACTTCTTGGAAATATTGTTAAGGAACCTAAGAATGTGAAGTTTAGGAGAGTCAGAATGGGGAACCCTAAGATTAGGGAGGCAGTGACTGAAGTTGCTGGAGGACTTGAGCTGTTGGAGTTTGTTGGGTTTGAGCTTAAGGAAGAGAGTGGAGAGATGTGGGCTGTAATGGCTGATGCGCCTGGGGAAGAAAAAATTGGGCTGATAAATCAGGTGATAAGCTTCCTGGAACCTAGGAAGGAAGAGACTGTGCAATTGATAAAGGAAGATGAGGATACTAAACCGTCTGTTGCTACAGTGGAGGAAAAACAACGGATTGAGCAAACAAAGATTGATAGACAGGTACGATACCTCATTCGCATTGTCTAATCTATGTTATTGGAGAATGCAGCATGTGATTGCTGAATTTTTACACTTCAAAGTAGGCTTCAGTTATATAGGTTTTCGAAGTATAACTCAGTACTGAGACTTTCCATTTTTTTGCTCAAATGAATGGTGGGGGGTATAATCGATCTTTTAAGTAAAAGCATTGATGATTAAGCATAGGCCTAAAGTCGTAACTTTGTTCGTTTCCTGAATGAGGGAAGCTGCCTCCAATGAGAGAACGACCTTAATAGCCCCTGTAACTTCGGCTTGGTTCTGCAGCTTTATGCTTTATTAGGTGGTGTATTAGTGGATTTTGTTTTTGGTTAGAGTTGTTAATGAGCCGAGTTCTGACCTAGCTTGGGCTCAGATTGTTAATAAACTAGTTGAGTTCGGCTCGTTAAACAATCTATGATACGAAATTTCTCTTTTAAATTGTAAATGAGACATTTTCTTCACATATTCAAAGTATTAAACATCATATGCGGTGAGATATATAATCTAACCAACCTGAGTTATCAACAAGTCAACTCATAAGCTATAGATCGATTTGATCCTAAGCCGCTAGTCGAGCTGGTGAGCCAGCTAGTGAGCTCAAAACGAGCCAGCTCACAAGTTTACATCAACAAGTCACCGAGTCGAGCTCACGATCCTTGTGAGCTGAACAAGACATAGCTCAAGCTCGACTCTTTAGTAACAAGCTGCGTATCGTAAGAGCTTTCGCGAGGCAAACACCAAACCGCTCGTGAGCAACTTTTACTCATTTGCAGCCCTTGTAGTGTACGCAGAAGCTGCCTTCAATGTTGTTTCTACCTAGCTTTAAATATCTATCACTAGGTGATGTAACGGAAGGTCATGCAACAGCTGTTTTGGCGCTCAAAAATAGATAGACATCAATAAGTTTACTACTGTGGCTAATATCAATTTGAAACCTTAACACTGATCATCGGCTGATCATCGGAAAGATCAGTCATGACTTCTATATGTCTAGAAAATGGTTGAAGATTTTGCTTCATTCTCATGTGTATAGTTTTACCTTCTCATGAGATTCAACACTAGAGAAGGAATTTCTCGGAGTACCACTGTGAATCCTAATCTGTAGTCGATATGCTTCGAAATACAAGGATGAGATTGCTACTTTTCTGTTTTCCCCGATTGAAGCTATTATTATATATTAAATTATTAATGGAGTCAAGTTATAGTGCTGCTTCTTTGTACTATTATTTATTCAATGGCTGCTTACGTCGCATAGTTACCTTAATTTCTATCTGAAGAGATTTTCTGATCTTTCAACCATTTATTTTCTTTTTTTCTCTTTCCGTTTTCCCTATTCAGATCAAGGTATTCTTTGCAGTTCCCGAAAATGTGGCTGCAAGAATTGAGCTCCCGGAATCATTCTACAGTCTCTCTGCCAGTGAGCTTAAAAGAGAAGCAGATATGAGAAAGAAAAAGCTTGCCGAATCTCAGCTTTTGATTCCAAAGTCTTACAGGGAGAAGCAGGCTAAAACTGCTCGGACAAAATACAGACGAACTATAATACGCATTCAATTTCCTGATGCAGTGGTTCTTCAGGGTGTCTTTGCTCCTTGGGAACCGACCACTGCCCTTTATGCGGTAAATCCTTTCAACTTCTTGTTCTCTATGTCTGCACCTAGTGAAACCAACAGACAGTATTAAATTTGCCGTTGGCTTGAGGAATGCAGTTGTTCTTCAATCTTTATTAGCCTTTTAAATGGGTCAGACCATGTAAGATCTCTAGTTGGCAAAGACTGAATAGAAGACAGTGAATTCTTTTTTGGCAAGTTATGATTCGTCACATGGTATGACATTTGACAATTTTTTTTTTTTTAACTTTTTATTTCAAGTTCGTTAGCTCGGCACTTAAAGATAGCAGCTTGGAATTTGAGCTGTTACATCCTGTACTGGTGAAACGTCGAGTGATCCCACATTCTGCAGAGACAGGGGAGAGAAGCATTACCCTGGCAGACGAGGACTTGGTCCCTTCAGCTCTCATCAAATTCAGACCCATTGAAACTGATTCATCTGTTTTTACCGGGTTAAGCAACGATCTCTTAGAGATTAGCAAACCGATGACATGATTGTTCCCATGAAAGCACTGGAAGATGATGAACTATTGTTCCCAAAAGATCGTGATGTCATGTTATATGTCAGGGTTGGCAAATTGTTAGCCTATCAACTGCATTAGCCAACTCTATATGGGGAGTCTGTAATTGGTGGAATTCTCAGGTGTTATCCAGTTCGAATGTATTGCATCAGTGGACTCTCGTAAACTTGTTTGAATAGTTTTTCTGGAAGCCTGGAAAGCTGTTTTAGCTTTTTTCTGGGTCCGTATTTTATGATAAAAGGCTGACATTGGCATTAAAATCATGATTTGGTATTAGGAGTTCATGAAGACTCCATTTATTTAGGCCAAACAAAGAACGGCAATGCAGCATGGGGAGAGAGGATGATATATGACTGCTATTACTCCATGATGCCAGCCAATGGTTAGATCGGGTATATAGTGGGGCAGGAATTTCGTGTCTCTAGATATGTGTAACTCTGGTTTCATCGTCTCTACTCTGGAAGTTCCCGAAAACTTAGGATTAGGTGAACTTGCAATATATGATTTTCAAATGTTCTATTGCTGTTGCAGAGAGTGGAAACAGGATTTTCAATATGTGAACTATTCTAACATGTGTTTATTGTGTTTTGGTGTTACTGATTCTGTCGTTTTTCTGCTACTAGTGGATTGAATTTTTGAATTTCTACGGTAGTTTGCTAGATTTCAGTAGGGGCATGGCATTATGGTGATTATTTGGTCCGAGATTTTTGGTTTTACCGAGACCGGACCGTATAACCCGGACCGAGATCGGATAGCAAACAATCCAATCTCATCTTCGAGCTTAGATTTGAGTTAAAAAAATATTTGGTACCGGACCAAAAACCGGATAAAGACCGGCTAAGAGAGCCCAACACCCAAAAGTTCAAAACTTAACCAACTCCTCACCCTTTGAGGGTTCAGGCTACTCAAATCCCCAAAAGTTCAATCTAAAATCAAGACCGAATTGGGACCGGACAGGGTCAAGACCGAATCGGATCAAGACCAAACTGTATCCAATCTAATCTTTGACCCTTATATTCTCGAAAAAACCGGACCGAGACCGAATCAATTTGGGCCAATTTAATCGGACCGTATAGCCACCCCTACATGACATTATGGGTGCAATGAGGCCATGAGGGCATACACTCAAAATGTAAAGGTTGGCCTATATAAGCAACATCTCAAAAGATTGTCGTCTCATTTTCCAGTTAAAAGTCGATATATTATTTATAACGGTCGACTGTATAACCAACATTTTATCTTACTCACCTCTCTCAGTTCAAGTAGATTCTTCTTTCAGGTCAACCTTTCCATTTAAATGGTCGATCTCTTTGTTGATATGGTTTACCTCTTTAGGGGAATGGTTGTCATTTTTGCTTCTGAGTCCCTTAAAACTGTCGACATTTCCATGTTTGTGGTCGACCCCTGTCTTCTACCAAAATGCTACGTTGTTGAAAGCGGTCGACTGCTACATTGTCTCGGTCGACCATTTCGTGTAAGTCTCCATAGGCATACTCTAATTTTTTTTATCCGCAATGGTGGATGATTGCATATTGGCCGCTAGAAGAAGGAGCTCGCACGCCATCTTAGAAACCTTGAGCTTCTTAATAAGTCCGCCAGAACAACCCATTCACTCGCCCAAGAAGTTTCTATTGACAGAAATTGGAAACTACCCGTTGAAATGAGTAGTTGATGTGGTTTTAGAAATCAAGGGCTACATGGATATTGGAGGGGGATCTGAACACTCGTTTTTTCCACCTCTCTACCCTCAAACGGCGATGGTTTAACGGAACCAGAGCCTTGCAGAATGTGTCGGGCACATGGGTTAGTGAGAATGGGGAATTGAAAAAACTATCCAACCTTTTCTCTGGAACTTTACCAAGCTGAGTTAGGAGCGGCTCACCCGGTCCCTACTACCTTTACTCGGCGGGATGAGGCTATTGGAGAGTACTCTCCAGACCTCTTTCCCCATATGAGGCCTGTCAAGCATTCAAGACTCTTGTAACGTTGCGTGCTCGATTGTAGTGAAATATTTGGTGAATAGAATCAAGCCCCTCATGTGAAATTAGGTTTAACCGACTCAGTTTTGCTTCATCCTGGGAAGCACATAGAATCAATATGTTTTCGACAATTATCACCGACCCTACCTGGTGATGTCTCATGTAGTGGTCTCCATAGACCACTCTGCTATTTGCAACCTGATGAGCAAGGCTGATACCAATCCTAGACTCATCTGCTGGATCATGCTCTGGTAGGAGTTTAACATTGAGATCTAGGACAAGAAAGGAGCGGAGAACGTTGCTTCAGATCATCTTTCACGATTGGAAGCCTCTCTGGTGGATAATTTGATTAAGAGATCAGCGAATCCTTTCCGGATGAGCGATTGCTGGCGATGTGCTTGGTGGAAAGTGTCACCCCATGGTACCCTGATCTTGCCAATTATCTGGTGGGCAAGCAGTTATCTAAGGGGATGGCCACTCACGCTAAGCGCAAATTCTTCTTCCACCCGAAGTACTATTTGTGGGAGGATCCATACCTCTTCGGGATTTGGAGCAGATGGTGTGATAAGACGATGAGTGATAGAGCACGAGATGAGAGATATCTTGTCTCACTATCACGAGTGACCCACTGCTGGTCATCATGGAGACAACCGCACGACGTGGAAGGTGCTATAGTTAGGCTTCTACTGACCCAAGCTCTTCAAGGATGCAGAAGTTTCATGCCAGTTCGATCGCTGTCAAAGGTCAGGTAACATCTCTGCCCGTGTTGAGATGCCCCAAAAGTCGTTTGTAACTTGTGAGATTTTTTATGTATGGGGATCAACTTCATGGGTCCCTTTCCTACTTCATTCAGTAATCTATATATCTTGGTGGTTGTGGACTACATCTCGAGGTGGCAGAAGGCCATGCCCACCAATGATGTAAGACGTGTGTGCTCATTTCTGAAGCAGTTGTTTTTCCGATTCGGGACACCTCGATCCATCAATTGCGAAAAGGATCCCATTTTCAAGGGCAATTCACTAAACTCCTCTCTTGTTATGATGTTAATTATAGGGTGTCCATGGCTTACAATCCCCAAGCGAATGGTCAAGCCAAGCTGACGAACCGAGAATTGAAAAGGATCATCGAAAAGATGGTGAATCGATCCCGCAAGGACTGATCTACCAAGCTCGATGATGCTATGTGGGTGTATAGGACATCCGACGAGACGACGATGGGTACTTCTCCATATCAGCTTGTCTATGGAAAGACTTGTCATTTACACGTCGAGCTAGAGCACAAGGCCTTCTGGGCCCTCAAGCTGCTAAACCTTGATCCGAGTCTTGCAGGCGTCGAAAGAAAAATGCAGCTGGTAGAGTTGGAAGAGTGGCGTTATCACGCCTATGTGAACACCCGACTTTATAAGGAGAGGACCAAGCATTTCCATGATTCTCGTCTAATAGGGCCCAAAGAGTTTCAGGTGGGCGATCGAGTTCTCCTCTACAACTCTCGCCTGAAACTCTTTCCAGGCAAGCTGCGCTCTCGATGATAAACAACATTCACGATCACCCAGGTGTTTCCATACGACACCCTCGAGATTGCAAATCCGCAGACCGAGCCCTTTAAGCTGAACGGGCATCTCCTCAAGTTTTACTTGGGAGGCGATGTCGAACTCCCGGAGTTGGTGATTGATCTTGTGGACCCTTAGTTCCACCTTCTGCGTCCATCTAAAAGATGGTAAATAAGTGCTTGTGTGTGTGTGGGTGTGGGGGGGGGGGGGGGGGGGACCTCACCATGGTTTGCATTTCCGTTTCCCTTTTCTTTTTTATTTTTGGTCTGTTGGAGTCAGCATGTATGTGAGTGTTTATGTTTGGTCGTCGGGTGTACCTCGTTTTGGGATAATTAGGCTTCGGGTTGATTAAGGAATGAAGTAAAGATGGATTTTGTGTTTTTTGTTTGTAAAATACTCGGTCAGCCACCTTAAAATACCTGACTGGCCCCCCTCTTGGAGGGAATGCCCAGTCTGAACATCAAATACCCGATCGGGTATTTTTAATGCCCGGCTGGGTATTTTCCCTATAAAAGGGATACCCGGTCGCCCCCTTCTCTCTCCTCCTAATTATTTCCAGAACACACACACATACACTCTCTCTCTCTCTCTCTCCTTTCTCTCATCGTAAAATTGCACCCTCCTTGGAGTTTTAAACATCCTAGTCTACTCCGACCTCCAAATCAAAATCCATTTTTTGATTCGAGATCCTCTCTCCAGGGCGCCCCAACCTCAGAAACTTTTCCGCATTTGGGCGAATTTTGTCATTGCCGCCCGCCCCTCCCCTCACCTTCCTCTGCGGTCCTTCTTGTGTTTCCGCGTTTGTGACTTGTTCTTTCTTTCCTAATTCTGAAAAATCGGACTATAGATGTTAGGCTTGAGAATCGTGAATTGTTTGACATGCCTGAACTAGTTTAGGGTGGGGGATATGTTTGATTGTGCCTACTAGCAATAATTGGTGTATGATTGCCTGGGTTTGTCGATCTGTGCCATGATTTGTGCAAGAAATTAGTCTGCTTTGCTGATATTCATGTCTCTATGACAACAAAGTAGCTAGTTTGAACTGTAATGCCTGCGTAGGTGATCCTTAGTTGTGGGGGAACTGGCTATCCCTTGCCTGTGATTCTAACGGTGTTTTCTCTTGGTTCCACATTTGGCTTAATTATTTTGCAGGATCATGTCTCTCACCCACAAGTACGTGCGTGACCTGCGCCACACGGAAGATTATGATGCGAAGTTCAGGTGGTCACCACTGGAGTATCATCAACGAGAAGGAAGTCGCTCATCCCACAGACTTCCATCCCAACAGCTTCTACCGCCATATCTGCCATCCCGAGCACAGGAAGGCGACCTTCGTTGTCAGCCAGCGAACGTCACTACCCTCAGACCTGAGTGGCATATCATCAACCTCCTACTCACCCACTCGGTCGTCCCCAATTCCCACGGATTGCACAAGCTCACCAAGCG